CAAAAAACAGCTATCCTGGGAACATCACACATACTACGGAAAGTGCTAGAGTGCGAAGCTTGAAGCCTGAGTGGTGAGGTGCATCACTGGTTCAAGAAAAGGAATACCAGGAAATAAACCTGTGACAAGAGATGATGATGATGATGATGATGATGATGATAATAATAATAATAATAATACTGCTGTGGGAATCTCACATAAATAGATGGATATTAGCAGTGGATAGAAATAATTAATGGACTACATGATGCTAAAGCCAGTTTTATTTATATCAGCTGCACGTAACAAGCGCACCTGGTTCAATTTTGAAACCATTAAACTCTCACTGAACTCTGTCTGTTTACAGCATTCTGATGTACAAGCACAGGCAACCCAGTGAGAGAGTCAGCGCCGTGGATCTCGATCCGTATGGATGTCCATCCCCCTTTCTAGATGCAGCTGTGCAGTGTGTCAGTGACGGGGGTGTTCTGCTAGTGACGTGTACTGACATGGCTGTGCTGGCAGGAAATTGCCCTGAAACATGCTACTCCAAATATGGAGCCATATCTTTGCATATCAAGTCATGTCATGAGATGGTATGTATCACAAATATGTCAGCAGCAGGTGGAGTGTAACATGTGGACATTTTCATGAAAGTGCAGTCCACTGACTGGAAGCAGTAATGGATGTAAGGATTAACTGTGTATACTGAGGCCATGGGAAGAAGTCAAATGGGTGGTTGGATGATTATGTTCAAGAATATTCACTGTCTGCCCTTAAGGGTGGGGTGTTGTATGATGCTGTCAGTAACTAAACTATGTAGTGTTGAATGCATGATGAATTAATTGGAAAGCGTTTGGAACTAATTGCTATCCGTAATAATTAAGTCATAAGAATAATGATTCATATGTAATCTGTCAGTCCTGATGTCCATTGTAGCTTCCGGTCCCCTGGTCATGACACTGTATAGTTTGGTAGGTGGGTACCAACATTTCAAAGCAGCATGCCCAAACGTTAGAAACAGTAAGAGTGTTCAGCAATCATACTGTGTAAATATTCATAATGTTCTTTGATTGTAATAAGTAAAGTATGAATAACAAATACTATATTTGCAGTTATGTAATGCACATTTTTTAATTTCAATACTCCTTTATCAATTATGTATGTTCCTTCTTCTTCCTTTGCTGTTTTCACTTTATATGAGTCATCTAGGAAGCAGGCCTCTCCATCTATCTCTGTCTTCCTAAAGATCCTCATCATTTTCCTCCCACTTCCTTCTTTGTGCTGGGTACGATTTTTCCTATCCCATTATCCCACCTTGAGTTTGGTCTTCCTGTAGTGTCGATGTCATGTTCAGAACCTTCTTTAGTGCTCTGTCACTTGTGAACTGTTGTGTGACAAAGGTTGGTAATTGTACAGGCACTGAGGATAGTGTTGCAGTGCATAGAGTCGCATGCTAACCGGTATGGTCGCTACATTGTCCCACTGCTCTCTATCAGCGCAGACTTCTATGTCCGTGTGTTTGTAAGGATCTTCAGTGGGCCAGCCATATGCAAGAAGACGACAAGGTACCTCTCTTATATAACTGTGTATATACCGTCATGTGGTTGTGTGACTGCAGACTGGGTTTGGATTGGTAATCAGATTCATTGGACACTTTAACACACAACTCATGGACTTAACTTTGCAAATCACCGTCACACACAGACTAGTGTTCTCAGTCACCGTGTTTATTGTGCTGCTTAGTAACATCTTCCAATAGTGGATGTTCTTCTGCTCCCGGGCTCATGCCCCCACAGGGTGGCAGGCTCCTCACAGCAGCCTCCAACCATTCTAACTGCCATTTCAAGACTCTTGTTCTCCAAGTCCAAGTCCATGTCACATTGCGACTGATGGTCAGTCAGTCAGTAAGTCTAGTTATGGTCTTGCTTTTGTGGGGTGCCCTCTCTGACAAGAGGATTGGTCCGTCTTTTACATATGCTGCTGGTCTTTGCCAGCACAATCTTTCTCGGGCCTGAGTCCCTTGGGGCTTGTGGCTATATTTTACTGTCTCAGATTTGAGACTTCCCATTTCATCACCTCCTATGACTCACAGGGTCACAGTGGAGGTATTTGACCCCGCCTCCACATGGCCATCTCTCTTGTACTGGCAGGGCACAGACTGCACAGAGAACACTGGTGCCAACAGATCTATTGTTGTGTGTGTGTGTTGCAGCGATCATGTGGTGGCTGCTGAGCCATTGCAGAACCGTTCCCAAGCAATGGCTTTCTCTGCTAGCATCACAATTCTGGCTTTCAGCACATGTACCACAATATTTTAATACTTCAGTATAGGTCTGAATTCATGTTTCCTGTTTTCTGTACAGCTGCTGCTCATGTGGCAGTATTTCCCTATATGAAGTCCTGCAATAAACAGAAATAAGATGAAAGTCATATGATGTAGCCCTGTACTACAGATTTCCGTCATAAAGAAAATTTTTGTTGTGGGTTATTTTACAGTATTGTCAATAGCTAGACTATGTAGCAATGTATTGTGGAGTGATAGATGAATGATGAATTGGAAAGGATTTGGAAGGAAGCAATCATGATATAGTGAAGGTACTGTCATACATTAGTCTGGAAGAATTGAGAGAAACATCTAGACATCTCTCTGCGGATACATTTTACACACCACAACTTCCAGCGTGATTTGGTAGGGGTGAGGTTAAAAATGTTTAAATTGTGTGGGTGGGTGTGGTTTGTTGTGCAGAAGTGAAGATAGAATTTCATTGCTGTACAGGTTTCTTGTTTCTTTGTGTTTGCAGCAAATTGGCGCTTGTGTTCCAATGTACAGGTTGTGAGACCCTCTCTCTACAGCCTCTTGGAGTATCCCATCAGTACGGGGACAAGCCACACCAGTTTAAATTCACATTGCCACATGGCCCCCCAGTTGGAGCTTTGTGTCATCACTGCAGACATAAGCACCATGTACGTACAGATTTGTTTTGGTGCAGCTGACCTCCCACTTCTGTTATTAATGACTTTGCACCTTCCTCTTCTGATTGTTGTCATCATGAACAATGTTTAACATCAGTGCAGAGCATTGCATGAATCTAAGCACAGTCATTGTATGTAGATGGGAGGGCCCATCTGGATTGGACCTCTGCATGATGAGATGTTTGTGTCACGACTGGAGCAGTTGGCCGCAACAGGCGAGTTTGGCACAGCACGCAGAATGCAAGGTGTGTTGGCCATGGTTCGAGAAGAGCTTCCAGATGTCCCGCTGTATTACACGTTGGATAGACTCTGCTCTGTCATTCATGCTGAGTCAATTCCCATGATGCAGTTTCGGTAAGTTGTCGTGAGGTGGCATAACAAACCTTAATTTGCCCACCACATCTTGGAGAAAAGCATGTCAGTTTGACAGTGACTGTCCCTCAACTTAAGATCTATATCATGAGTTAAGTCTGTTTTAGTGAGGTGGGCAGGACATATAGCATGCATGGTAGACAGGTGAAATGCATACAAAAAATTCTGTTTGCAAAACTTGAAGAGAAGAAACCACTTCAGAGGCTTGAGTGTACGCCAGAGGATAATATTAATGTACCTCTTCCAAGATATATATAGAGCCAGAATTGCTTAGTTGGTACTGTGACTTCACTACAATCTAAATGAGCATAGAATTGGTTCAGTTTCTAACAGTAACAAGATTTTTCTCTTAAATACAGTGCCCATTGTTGCTTATGGTCCCTCCTACCTTCCTAGCTAGTGGATTCCAGTGGGTCCTTTCCTTGGGGGCAGAGCAGCCAGGGTGTGAAGCTTACTGCTGTCCTGCATCTAGTGTTGAGGATAGTGCATGGAGCTATACCTTGATTCCTCCCATACGTCATCATGGTGGCATTATGCTTACTTGAACATAGGAACTTTATTTTAAAGATATGAGAGTGTGATAGTATGAACTGGATTCCACTGGCTCAACAGCAACAGGTGGCAGGCTGAACATTGAGGTTCCATAGAAAGTGGGCAATTTCTTGATGATGTGAGTGACTCTTAGCTTCTCCAGGAGGTGTTTGCTCAGTGCAGTCTGTTAGTTGATGATTAACTGAAATCATCAGACTGCTTCATGTTTTCCAGATCTGCGCTGATGAATGGTGGTTACCGTGTGTCGCTCTCACATGCCAACCGCATGTCTGTCAAGACAGATGCCCCAGCCAGTTTTGTGTGGGACATAATGAGACACTGGGTTAAGCTGCACCCTATTCGGAAGTGCCGTCTTCAGGGTGTGGCAGCCATTCTCCTGTCCCAGGAACCCACTAATGAGATCAACATGGAAGTGCGGTCTGATGCAAATCCTGAGTCTCGCGAGAAGGGTCTGGCACGTTTCCAGGAGAACCCCCAGCGGTTCTGGGGCCCTGGCATGAGAGCCAGAAGCAAGTAAGTCAGAGCTTTCCTTTTTATATGTTCAGTTTGTTAAGCCTCAGATAATGTTTTAGGAGCATAGCACAGACCATATGTTACATGCCAGACTTGTTTAAGCGCCGATGTAGTTGACCTGTTCGGGTCTCATGCTCAAAGTTTATGTTCGAAAGTTGTCATCCCTGTTCCCTCTCTACTTTTAGGCAATAACCTGCCAGACTTCTGAAATGTTATCGCTGTTTCATGCGGTTTCGTTCATCCATTCTTTTGTGAAACAGCTTGTTATGTATTTAATGTTATTAAGATATTTTCATCGATTCTCCATATTGAAAACTGTGATAATATGTTTCATAATTAGCCAGGTTAGAGACCAATTATCTCACCTTAAAAATGTACTAATTATAAGTCCCACCCTGGCTTTAGGGGATGCTGATTAGTGCAGCTTATATTCAGTAAAATATAACAAACAAAATTGCAGTATGAGATTTGAGGTTATTCCGTGAGAGGTGGGTACTAAAATTTCAGAAGAACATATTGCTTACATCTGCAGGGTAGAGGTAATGTGGACAGCAAGTTCCTCCAATATGTTGGTAGCCAACTACCAGACTACATGGTGTCGTAAGTATGAAGGCCACTGCTAAGAATAAGACACGTTCTGGCCCAGACTAAGCCTTCAGAAGCATGTGAAGGCCGAGCCATACTTAACCAAGCAGGAACCGAGCTTCAGAACCAACTGTAATAACAGGTTTGGACTTCTCACAGCGGTGACTGTGAAGAGTGCTTATCTTGTGGGATGTGGCATTATGTATTGAGGTAGAGGTTCAGTGATGTTTAGGAGGAACTTACTGCTTCCATCTTCATGGTTGAAGAATGAACCAAGTAGATCACAAGCATTCTACTTGCTACCTATATCGTGCTTGTTGCTTGCTTTGTTTACACTTCAGCTGTGAAGGTGGTGGCAATATGTTCTTCTGAAACTTCAGCACACTTCTGCCAGACTACACAGCGTTGCATTCCAGAAGACAGTGCTGTACAGGTATAATGAATTCAATGAAATAAAGCTGAAGCTGTCCTGGAGACGAGAGTCATTGTATTAGCCTACACTGGCTGCTGTCTGTTTCATATGCAGCATTCAAGGAGAAGACAAAATGGAGAAGAGCAGGAAGAATCAGGGGAAGAGGAACAGATCAGAGGCAGGAAGTCCAGTGAAGGACGGCTGTACAAAACAGATGAAGGGAGAAGAGGAACAGTGGTGCACCTAGGTACACAAGTAATGTCACGCTGCTTAAAGCATATGATGTTATATGTAATCAACATAGCTTGACTAAAATAACAGGGGCGCAACTAACAAACTAACAGTCACTGAGCAAGTTCGTTCAAGGGGTAAAGTTTGTGAATGGTATTTGGAGAAGCACCCTGTTTAAATCATATCCAAGATACTGAAATTTCTGTATGAGGGTTTTATTTAGTTTCTCGTCTCTGACCGTCCTGGCAAATTTTGAATGTATTATTCACTCTTCTGCCATTTGAACCTGTGCAGTCATGGTTATTGGCAGCATCATAAGAGTATAGATATAAAGACATTTCACATATTGTTTAATACATGGGATTGACCATGACTGCATTACCTTGCGAACTGGTTTGGTACGTCATTGTTGGTTGCTGAATTCCGGGCAACAGTCAAATTCATCAGACCAATAATGCAAGTTTCATTAAAGTCACTGTATCACTTCTTGACCCCCAGTGCTCTTGCCATTATTTTCAAGAGGGTACCACCTGGTTGGTTTTATTTGGGGAAATGGCCTCAGTAAGTTACTGAAATGAAAAATCATTAATTTTTTTTTTAAGAAAATCACTGTTTCGTGATTTGGGGCCCATGTGAAGGTCCCGTTTTTACAGCTGGAATATTCATATCCTTTGAGCACCATACTATGGCAGATAAATTTTTGAATACTGAATGTGAATAAAATCATTCCAGCCATTCAGGCGTTACTCAGGCACACATACAGATGGTGTACCAAAAGCCACTTTTTACTTGTATTTTGAAGGGAGCTGAAAACATGTTAAGTTCATCAGAATCTGAAGATAAATTTTTCACCATCACAGTACTTCCTCAAATATAGTGTGCATGTGAGAAAGTAAATATGTACATATATTATGTTGCATTATTTGGAGACCAAGTCACTTTGCACACAATGGTGAATCTCATTATACACAGAGGCTGAGAGTATAAAAAATGTGTACAACTGAATGAATACTGAGTATAGGGGAGAAGGTGCAGGAGCCAATATGGCGGAGTGAGAATTTTAGGGCTCATTGGCATCTGTGACAGTGCGTACTGAGGCTATGGACAGGACGGTGGTTCTCTGCATGACACTTAGGTGGAGCTGCAGCTCTGCAAAAATGTGGTTTACAATTGCAGGGGTCACAGACATAAATTCTGCAGCTGTTATTCTTTGTTTTGAAATCGTCATGTTGCTTAAAGCAGGTGGAGGAAGCATAAGGCCATTTCAATGTGTCGAATGTTTTGATGGGCTTTTTTTTTTACCAGTCACATCCATTTTGTCGCTGATCATCAGCTTCTTCCCCATTTCTCCTTCACTGATTCAATTTTAAAACTCAGCAGTTGATACAAAGGAATTATGCAGTTGTGTAAATAAATATGATACAGTCAACCCTCGCTAATCGGATTACAGTTATTCCAAATGTCAGATAATCCTGATTGCAATGTGAAACATGAAAAGAGAGAGCTTTCAGACTGTGTTAAAGGCAATCAGAGAGACTGAAACCATGCAAGAAAATATCCAAGATTGGCTTGAGCTGGGTGAAGGAGCTTTCAGCTTCTGACAGAGGAAGAAATTGCTGCAGTAATTTTTTTATTTATTTTCCTCTGCAATAATTTTATTATTAAATTTATCATTTGTTTGTTGTTTTTTTTTTTGTCCTTTAGGGCTATCTTTTGATTCATTAATCTGGCTTATCACTTAATCCAGATGACTGTACACCAATTTTAAACACAGATGTATATGCATATATTGCAAACAGTATGCAGTTCACACCTGTTAACACAGCCTGAAATAGGATACAGCAGATGTCGCATGGCTCCTTCCTGGTAGTTCCTCAAGCTCATTGAATCCCATGCATATTGTTCACTGTCTGACCAGCTAACAACTAGGAAGCTGACTTACAGAAAACTGTACCCAGAGGCAAGGAAATTACGGCCCTCAGGTTTTGGTTAAACACTATATCAAGGTACAGACTCCATGTACAGACTGAATTTTCATCCACTGAATTCATGTAAAAGTTTAAATTGAGAAACACTGGAATGGGGTAATTTATGCATTTTATATATAGGGGTTTTGTTGGGGCACCAAAAAATGAACATTAAATGTGGGAAAACCTTAAATCTGGGTTCTCCTATGTTAGTTACATCGTTACTACAGTACTTCAGATAGACTGTAATTTGTTTCTTGAGCTGTGGCCCTGTTCTTGGGGTGTGAGATGGAGGGTGTCTGAGAGCAGGGCCCACAGGAGAATATCTGTACCAAAGGGAGATGAGGATGAACGCATACTGATGGGCTTCACAATTTGTACTTCCTTCTGGGATGTTATGCTCTGTAGTCTGATAGACTATTACCAATGTTTAAGAGGAAAGTGGTGCCGCCATCTTCANGCTTTATAATGTAGCATACAGACCCATTGCTAAGTAATCACTCTGTAAACAGTGCCCACTTCTAGGGAACAGATTGCTAACTTGCAGCAATGGACTAGCTGGGAAGTTGTTTTCTGTGTGGTCCGCTAAGCAACAACTGAACAGCAACAGAGGAACTGTGTTTTGTGTGGTTCATCCCGAGATGTTGTAAGCTGGACAAATAATGAGACTTAATGCAGTGTAGTGCAGCACAGGGATGTGATGAGTTGGTTGGTGAGTTAATGGGTTAGAGAACTGCAGTTCAGTCATTGTGAACTGTTGCTGTTGGCAGTTAGCTCAGTCGTTAGACTGAGAACACTTATTGCATGCCGCAGTTAACTGCAGTGTGTGTGAATTAGCAATAGTGCTCAATACATCCAATTACCAATCCAAACCCCGTCTATAGTCACTCATACATATTACAGCTAGTGTCAGAAGTGGGATTTGAGTCCATGCCCATACTCTTCATAAAATATTATTGTGGTGATTAAGTTAAGGGGGACGAGGTCCGCAGGACAAATGTTACATGGGAGGAAAGGGATGCATGCAAAATGTTTTTCACAAAATGGGGAGAGACAGCTTGGGAGACCTAGGGATAGATGGCAAGGCAAAACAGATTTTATGTAGGTAGGATGTGGAGGTGGGTTAATCTGGCTCAGTTATGGCCTAATGTTGGGCTGTTGTTAACATAAGAATGGTATTCCATGTTCCATAGGACAGGTGAATTTACTGCTGAGCTAGCAGAAGCAGGTGACCTTGTGGATGGGTAGAAATTGCTCCTTTCCTTGTTCTGTAACAGTATACTTTGCTAACTTTCTGTGTCCCTCTTGCGTCAACATATTTTTGTCACTGTTTTGTTTTCAGGCTTTGTTGGATTTTGTTTCTCATGGTGGTGACTGTGAAGAGTACCATCTTCTGGGGTGGTGAGAGGTTTGCCATTGAAGAACACAGTGTACTTGATCTTAAAGTAAAGGATTAACTATGTATTGCTCATGGGACATTGCCCATTGAGGATATTCTGTGTGGGGTGCTGAAGGCATTAGATGCTGTGCTTAGGAAGGCTGCTGAGGAGGTCTGGCAGGATCCTGAAATATTCTTCAAGTGCAGCCATTTTGGTACATCCAAGAAGATAATGCTGTTCACTTGTATGTTGTTTCGTGAAAGTGTGAAGACTACACCACTCGAATGAAAGTAGAAGAACGATTCATTGGATTTTGTGCTCTCATGGCTGTGACTATGAAGAATGTGGCCTTCTGGGTTGTGACGCTGTGTAGTTCAGAGACAGCCCAATGTTTTGGAGGAGTATATTGCCTCCATCTTCAGGGTCAAAGAATAAGCTCAGCTTCCCAGCTGCTTCTGCTGGTTTCTTGTGTGGCTTATTCATCAGCCATGAAGATTGAGGTAGTATGCTCTGAAATGTTGGGCTGTCCCTGAACTACATGGCATTACAACCCAGAAGACTGCTCTTCATTGGCAGAATTATTGTTTTGTTTCTTCTCATCATCGGTGTTTTTAAAATACTACAATACACTGTACTGTCATATGTTAAAAAGAAATTTGAACCAGAGATGAGTTTATTTTCTCTAGATTCTAGGTTTATGTCTCAGAAAGAGTAATCAGTATGTTGGATGTGAGGTTTTCACAACAGTGACAGTGAAGAGTACCATCTTCTGATATGTGACAAGAGGTAGTCTGGTACAAACTCACCGACATCTTAGAGCAATCCAGTAAACCTCTGTGAGACTATATGGCTTCATATCCCAGAAGTCAGTGCTTACACCATGAGAGGTGGTACGCAAGCACAAACAATATTCCATTATTTTGGGTGAGTCACAGACATGGACAGGTCCACTTGGGTGAACAATGTGCATCCTCCTGTCCTGTGGGGCCAGATGCCATCATCTCTAGCACAATGCCATGCTGTGAGTAAGTGTAATTTCACTTTATGTCTTACTTTGTGCATTAAGATTTTATGATAAATTATTAAAAAGCAAGAAACTCCACTGCAATAGTTGGACACTGCTTTTAACAGCCATGGCTGCCGTACATGTCGGTAAGAGATGGCGTACGTCACATATATTTGGATGTTATTCATCTGTTCCACAGGAGGGATCAGGGAACAGAGAATTAAAGTTTTATTTAAGGTGCATTTGAACACTAAACTAAGGGAAGTCTAAAATGAGGAAATCTAGCACTAAGATTATTTTCTTAGGGTCACCGAAACTGAACATTAAATGTTACGTCAAGGAAAGTTAAATGAGGGTTCCATTATGTGATGAAGATAGACAGTAGTAAATGGAGAATGTTCAGTGTATTTGCAGCTTCTTTCAGTTCTTTTAACTTTACACTTCAGTTTTTATTGCCGATAATGTTTAACACATTTAGCTATCCATTGGATACTTGGGGCTGTTTCCCTGAAGGTAAATAGGCTTGAGCACAAAGCTGACCACTCACCTCCATCTTGTCCCAATGTCAGGAATGGTGGAGTTATATCTCCACTCCCCATACTTTTTCATTGGATGATGTTTAATTAGTTAAATATAGATAAATTTACGTTTTTGTACCTGTTTTGTTTATTTGTTGCTAGAAGTTGAGTTGTGCCGTACGTACACATGACATGACATTCATCAGATGTATGTTCCTTTGCATGTTACATGTTGTTACATGTGTAAAACACAGTGGTTTTAAGTAGCAGTCAGTTTGGACTGACCAACAAAGCGGACGTTGATCCCTTTGGGGTTCATCTAAATGCTCTTTAAAAATCTGGTTCCTACTGCACAAAAATACGTCTCAGTTACGAAGAAGTGTAATAATTGATGTCTAGTCTGAGAATCATACAAAGACACAGTGTACTGTGTGGAAAAATTGCAGGGTTCTTTTAATGTTAAATCAAGTGGTCCATATAGTTACCAGTATGGTTTAAAGGTTTAATGCTGGCTGGTATGCCTGTGGTGATGCCACGCAAACTCCGCAACGAGTAACAGTACTGCAGCTGCAATGCCAGAGCCTAGAATTCCCAAGGCTGACATGACGTGTCCAAGCCCAGCGCTGGAGTAACCAGAACCATTGCTGCAGGATGCAGGAGCCACCATGCTTCGCTTCAGGCCCACCTGCAGGATGCCTGTCTCATGCAGCCACAGCAGCCTGTGGGACAAACGTTAAATACTCTGATTAACATTTGGGCCTTAATGCTCTCTGCTGCAAGAACCCCAGGGGTCTTAAACTTGTGTTCAGCACAGCAGCTGCGTTTATGTTGTGCTAGTCTTATACACCAAATGGGTCACTGTAGTACTCATGCTCTATACTCGTATTTGGAAGATGCTGGGGCACTACCTGTCCTGACTGAGGTTTTGGCATTTTCCTCTCCAGACTAATGACAGGACAGTACCTGCTTTTGGACTATGACTGCACCTTCCAAATCCTTTCCAGATTAACATGCATTAATCAGTCCACTCAGTGGTGTACAGTCTGGCTGTGGAAAGTGACATAAGTAACCCACAAGAGAACTGCATATGAAGTAACTGGGATAAAGGTAAGTTAAATGTGTGGGGGAGGACCATTTTAAGGTAGGTATATGGAACAGTAATTGAGAAAGTGCTGTGGAACACAGAACTAACCACAAACTGGGCGTGGCAGCCCGGGTTCGATCCCGGGTCTCGTAAAGTGGGATTTGTGGTGGACAAAGTGGCGTTGTGGTAGGTTTTCTCCGAGTACTTCGGTTTCCCCTGCCACTCTTCATTCCACCAATTGCTCCACAATCACCCTCACCTATCATCTGGGGCTGGTACAATAGGCCAGAAGTGGCCACAGTACAGGGGACTTAGTTCAACCCCGCTAGCAATAAAAAGAAAACAACAAACTGAAGGAATTACATAAAACTCTTGATCTGGTAGTGGACAGGAGAAGAAGGAGGAGGAGAAGTGGTGGCGGCAGCAGCAGCAATATTTGGGCATGTGATTAGAATGGGTCAAATAAGAGTGAGTAAGAAAACTGTTAAAGTAATGCAGGAAGCAGAGGAAACGTGGGAAGACCAAGACTGAGATGCCTGAAGATGTAGAGGATGATGTAAGAGAGCTGAAAGTGAAGAGGTGGAGGCAATAGGCAGTAATAGAGAAAACTATTGTGAAGGAGGCCAGAGTTCTTCGAGTGCTGTAGAGCCAAGGAGGAAGTGAGGAATTGTAAGATTTTCACACACAGAAATGCAACAGTTATTCAGAATAAATCATGTTAACTTTCCTAGTGTTCCTATGACTGGCGTGTTTCCATCTTGGATGGAAATCCCTCTCATGGTCATGGCTGTTATACATCTGTTTGTTTCTGTTAGTGCATCATTCCCAAAGTATACTCTTAAGGCCTCTTAAGGCCCCAGTGAATATAACATGGTTTTGAACCTTCATTCATGGAAAATTTGATTGCATGTCACAGTGCCATCTTCTTACTGACTTCGACAGATACCATCCTGCTGTGTGATTAAAGACTTGCATGCAAGTATGGTTGCTGTGTGAAGGAGCCTTGTTGAAGAAGAGTTNGTGCCATCTTCTTACTGACTTCGACAGATACCATCCTGCTGTGTGAAGGCGCCTTGTTGAAGAAGAGTCCTGTATGTTCAGCAAGGTCTCTGGTATGTCGATTTTGGTTCCATTCATATGTTGAAAAATGGAATGTAGTAATTTTCTAATGATGGCATTATGATCTTTATCACTATTTGATAACGATTCACCCTCAGAAACATTTTATTTGCAGTACATGTATCATCACTTGAATGTTAGAGTGTTCTGTCTCCAGTTTTGGTGAAAATGAGATAATGCACATTTCTGATTCTCCATATTGTGTTGCACTATCTCCGCATATTTCATTGGTTTACCTTACCTACAAGTGTGAGATTTCAGAATGCGTTCTGTTTTAAGTCACATTTAAACTAGTTCAAACTAACTCTGAACCCAGCTTCCTAAAAATCTTGTTGATGGGCATATGTGGTCTGATACTTGGATGGCCATGCTATATGTGTAAGAGGCCTGTCTGTACCAGTAATTTAAGATGTCAGCATATGGTGAATCCTTTGGCACAGCCCAGGCTTTCATATGTTTTGTGCCAGCAACTGGTGAGAGTGTCAATTGACAGGCTTCATCTGCAGACAGTCTTGTAGTCATGAAGTATTTCAGGGGGTACTCACTGGCCATACCAACCCTGTTGTCTCCCTGAAGCTGCAAGAAGAGCTGATCTAATGACTGTACTTTGTTGCGCTCTTTTCGTAACTGCGTTGAGTGAAGTGTGCGCACTGCGGTGTCTGGTGAATTCTGTGCAACAAGAAGGTGGTTACTTGCATGTGAAATGTTGTTCGAAAGGATGAAAAGCATTAGACTAATAAAGCTCATTTATCTGCACTGGTTACTGATGTGTCACCAAATTAAACAAATCAAACAACAAATTGAAGCCTAACCCATTCCACCCTAGCCTAGTCTATATCTATTTGGTCAGGCATAGCCTAGACTACCCTGGACCTAAGCAGGTAGCCTAATATATTCTTGACCTGCATAACCTAGGCTACCCTAACCCCAGCTAACCTAACCCACCCTGCAGGTATCTCTAACATGTGATACTGCCATTCCCAGGAGCAGCAGTATAGCTCAAAATTTTTGTTACTCTTTGGGTTTCATCGCTTTTAAGTTTAATTAAATTAGGTGGGTCCCTTGTCACCATGGCATGGTGCTTCCTCGGGTTGTGGATCGAGGTAGCTGCAAATATATTGAATAAGCAGTCACGGACAGCCAACAAGGGGTGATCCTTCAGCTTATGGGTTGGACTTGGGGCTAACAACTCCTCACCATAAAAAAATAAGATTGTTACAAAATGTCACAAAGGGCCTTGGACCTTGACAAATTATTACATGATAATGAGCCTTTGGGTTCCATGAAATGTTGTGAAGTTCTTGGGTGGCTGCACAGCTGGTGGCTTCTAAAGAAGGGCTTGGCTCCATGAAGTTAGTAATTAAATTAACTTTAATGTGATTAATTTTGGCTGTTTATGGATCCAGAGTTTTGTGTACTGTACAAATGATTTCATTATTTTTTAATTTTCACAGCCACCAACACATGTTTAGTTTTAATAAAGTCATTAAGTTTTACAGTTTCCTCACAGAGAAGAAGTCTGGCAGGAGACCATCCCAGGAGGCTGAGAAGTCAGTGTGCATTTGAGCTACATCAGAGAGCTGCAGGTTGGTATCCTGCCCCTGCACAGCCAGCAAAGATGTGACCCCCGCAGCGAACCACGTGTACAGGAGGTATGATGCCATGTAGCCAATTATGAAGACCATCTTGCAGGAGACTCCTTGTGGCACCTTGCTGAAACCTTCAAGACAGTAGCTTCCTTTTAAGGTTACTGATTGTAATGCATTGTCATCAGGACATAACTGGCTGAGCAAGTTAGCTTAAGCGAAAATGCTCTAGATTTATTTTTATAAAGGACATCTTGACTGTTACACTATACTAATGTATAAGAAAAGTAGAAATCCATAAAGTGTAACTAAGTGAGTAAATAGTCTTCTTGATTCACATGTTTCCTGATGATGGCAACAACATTTAGGACATGAGAGTATGCTTGCTGAATTTATTCACTTGGTTACACTTGGTGGATATATATATATATTGTCATGTGTTTTATAGGCAACACAACAAGAAAATTCACACAGGCCTCAGATGTGGCAAATATGTTTATTGTCAAATCTCTTCTACACTTACAAGTACAATTATCATCCACTTATAACGTATCCTGATCCGTATTCCCACCAGAGTGGACAAAATGCATTGTAAAATGAGGCACACAGCCAAACAGTTAATATCAAATATACTACACCTATACCATGGGCCTCCAAGCAGTTTACTATACACAGACAAGTCCTGAATATACCACTGTATGTCCGCTGGAATATAACAACAAAATTGCAACAACTGACTTAATAATATGAAATATCACATGAAGAGGTTTTAACCATTATTACATAACTTTCGTTTTATAATTCATTGTATTTTTGTACCTTGTATTGTATAGTGTAACACAGATGTCATGTATCCAGCTCTACTGTCACATTGAAATGCAATTCAATAGTATCTGGGTGTGGTAACCATGTATTTTGCCTGATGATGGCTTTAAAAGCCAAAACATATAACTAAAATAATGTTGACCTTGACTGTTATGTTGTTGTGTTACAATGGATTCCAATAAAGAATTATAAAAGCTAGAAGTACTAATAAAACTAATGTAACCCAATTCTGGTACTAGCATGTCTTCACAATTATACCGTTGTACTGTTATAATGAATTGACATAATCCTCATTCGTGCAAAAATGCACCAAGTGAAAGGAGATGCTGGCATGATGCCCAGCTGCCCTACCTTGCTGACAGGTGGCTGCAACCGCCCACAACGTGATCTCCACCCATGTCCATGGTTTGGGCTGTCCTGACAGGAACTTGGCAGTCTGCAGTGATGCAAGGCGGAAACTGGCAGCAAGCAGCACAAGTGCCATCACCAGACATACCAGCCACAGGGAGCCAGTGAATGTCAGGACAAACACATCTTGAGTGAGGGGCAGGCCGGCTGCTCTGTATGCCAACATGCGCCTGGACATACAGTACATCACCACAGTTACTATATGGTTTAGAAGCTATTTGCATCAGTCAGTACATTAGTCCTTTAAAGAACAGTGGTTAGTATATGTACCACCTGTTGTAACATCAAAGAGCCCCACTTTTTTCCACACAGTGCATTTGTGTGTTTCAGATGGTTCTAACAATAAACAGCATTAACTGGTTGGGCTTTGTAGCAGAGATGTGATGTGTTTCCTGTGAGGTATGAACTTAATGCTTGACTAGAACCACACCTGACACTTTTGGAAGTGAAACATGATTTTCCCTAATATGGTCTGTTTGTATAAGCCACACCAATAATTAGCTTGATCCAAATTCTGACACCTTTGGACCCATGTAACTTCCAAAATGGCTGTGGTGTGAGACAAAGGTAGTTCTTGTATGTTCATTCAAACCTCCATTCTTCTTTCTGTGTTTGTTGTGTGTATGGGTGTGGAACTTGGCCTCTCACATTAAGGTAGGAACATAGACTGAGGGTGTTTGAGAAAAGGTGGCTGAGGAGAATATTTGGCCTGTAGAGTTGGAGAGAATTCTGTAATGAGTAGCTTCATAATTTGTACTCTTGCACCATTTATTATTATTATTATTATTATTAACATTGATGAAATATTGAAGTGGGCAAGGCATTTAGCAGGCATGGGGGCAGATAAGTGCATGCAGCTTTTTAATAGAGAAACCTGAAGGTAAGAGACCAGTAGTAAGATTTAGGTATAACATTAAAATGAATTATTGAGAAATAAAATGGTGTGGATTGAAATCACCTGGTGTAGGGCAGCGACCAGAGGTTCTTTTGAATGTAATAATGAAACTATGGGTCCATGGGATGACAGAAACTTCTTGAGTAACTGAGCAACTATTAGCTTCTGAAGAACTTATCTCCGTGATGTTGACTGGCCAGTTGACAATATGTTCATTGTGTATGCTTGCCAGCTTGAGCAGTGGTTGCAAGAGGATCATAACATCACACGTCCAGAAAGTGGGATGTCCTCACCACAGTGGTGTTTCCACCACAGCACACATGGTAACTGAGTCCATTCTGTGAAGCTAATAGTTGCTCAGCCACTCAAGAATTTCCCAGTGTTTTATAGAACCCAGGGTCTGTTACCATGTTGACAGGAGCCTGCCTCTGAGCTCTGTCCTGAGCCAGATGAACCCAACACCCACCTCCCCCCCAATCTGATACAATTAAGGTAGCACAGTTGGTGTAGGAATGTGCTATGGGCTTCATGGCCAAGAAATTGGGCTTCAGTTCTTCAGCAAGGGAAACAAATGTTTCTCCTCTTCACAGTGTCCAGACTGATGGGCTCCTGTTGAATGGCTGATCCATGAATTTACATCTAGTGCCCAGGTAAATGTGTGGAGCTGTATCTCCACTGCACCATACAACTTCATGGCATGGTGTTTAATTAATTAAGCACCAAAACAACCTTACCTTTCTCACGCTGTGTCTTTAATATTGTCCTGTCATTTTCCTCCAGGACTGCAACTGGTTTCTTCAGGTTTCTGTGTCAAACCTTTGTACTCTTATATGCTCTCAAATGTGTGCAACATTCCATGCCTGTTACGAAATGTACCGAGTATGCAGGGTGGGGTGCAGAAAGAGTGCCACAGCTGTCCTGTCTGCGGTCAGCGTGGGGTGACACACCATGAGGTCCACTGCACCCTCTGCAAGCATCCCCAGCAATCCAACCCACACACCCTCATCATCCTGAAAGCCCCAGGCGCCACTTCCGATGAACTCAACCCTGAAACACATTCCATTCACACTGACATGAATACAGCCAACTAATGCACCCAGCTTCAGTTTGTCTTTCTCCCTTGTCATAACCACTAGAATCTGTGCAAGTGGTTGTGAAGGCCACGCCATAGCTCAAGCGATTAGTCACTGGCTTTTCACCGCGGCTGCCCGTGTTCGATCCCGGGTCTGGTGAAANACCCCAGTTTGGGGAGTGTAACCGTACAATGCAAAGGACTCCAATGTTTTGGTTCACGTGTGTCGGTACTTGTCTCTACATAAAAGCAGAGGCAATACCTCACACCCACTCCA